TAAGAGCACAAAGCATTGTGCACAGGAACAAGAACAAGTTGCCCAGTACTAAGCACTAATCTGTCTTCTTAACATTAATTTTTCTTCTCTAGATTTTAATTTCTCAAAAACTTCCTTGACAGGAATACAGGGAGTTTTTCATTAGACATTAACAATTCACGCTCCACAGCTGAATCATTGCATTTAGAGCAAACAGATCTATTCTTTAGAAGTAGTTGCATTAATTGGGAAAGTCGTGTTTTTTCCTTCATACTTAATGGTCATATGAGAAGTCACAACTATACTTATTAAAGGAATACAAAAACAAACTAGCCCATTCCCAGAAACATACTGTGCTCCTCCAGAAGATGGATGCCTTGCGCCATCCACCTCGGTAGGGCCTTGCCATTGCCTGAGTCAGGGGAGCCGCACAGCAAATTTTAGAATTCCTTTTGCCTAAACAAATTTTTAAATTTTGGATCAAAAATACTCAAAGGGAAATTTCTTAATATAGTAAGGATGAATAGGAAGAGAAATGAATGAATATATCTTATACTGCCATTAATCTTTTCTTCTTTCTTATAGTTTGAAGAGGACATTTTTATTAGTGGATAGTGCTGTTGGAATTACAAAAACAGACAATATTGCCATAGAAATGTGTGAAGAATTTGCATTACCTTATGTGGTAAGTCTTTCTTTGGACTCATGTTTGCAGTTAGAAACATCAGTTCTGTTTGGCTATATATGTGTGCAAACATTTAAATGAATGAATAGGTCTTTCCCTCTCAAAATACAAAGGAAAGTGCCTTTATGTTGGCACTTTATGTAGAGTGGCACTTTTGTTCATTTTTCTTTCWCTCAGTTTTTAAGTTTTTTAAATTATAATTAAAATAAAAGTGTTTTAAGCTGTTCATTTAGTGTTTCTAAGTGCTTTGCTTTTCCTTTTTTTTTTTTTAGTATGGAAATAAAACATGTTAATAGCTCTTTAACAGCAGCTTGGCAGATAATACTTACCAAATGTAATAGAAGTACAAACTGAAAAATTTGTGAACTTATTTTGGAATTTAAAAATCATTCCAAGAATATAGCAGACTCCARCACACACAGTATGATTTTTGTACCCTTAAAGAAACAGAATTTCTTCTGGGAATATCTTACTAACACTGTTTCTGTCATCTCACCTAGAATAAAATACAGACTAGCAGGCTAGAATCCATATTGATTTTATTTCCTTATATTTCCAGATAAAATAGCATTCGTAAAGTTCCTTTATAAAGAAAAGTGAAGAACTTAATGACCTTAGTTTATTTTCCACCAAGTGTTAGAAAACCACTAAAATATAACAGTGGAGTTTAAATCAAATCATATTAAAGCCACTTTTTTTATCTTCTTTAGGTTGTGAAAATCTTTAGGTTGCGAAAATTCTGTGAATCAGAATAACTCATAAGGCATCAAAGGATGATAGTCTTACATAGTAAAAATGCCTAAATATTGTCAAACTGATTTTATTAAGTAATAGCTTTCATAATTTTGTATCATAGGTACCAGTTTGTAAAATCATATAATAAGCTTTAACTGAGGAAATGTGAATATATATATATACACACACACACATAAATTCATATATATTTTTACATGTCCATGCATGTATGTATTTCAGCACATTTGCCTTTATGAGGAAAGACTCCTATTTGAGTTGATTCATAGGTCATTAGAAACCATACACTTTTCCGCTTCTCACTCCTTTTACCATTAGCATTTTTATTTGTAAAAGGCATAAATGATTCATCACGAAATTTAATTTTATAGAAATTCTTCCAAGAAAACCTGATGGATCAGTGTTTTACATCTTGATTGATTTTTAAGCATCCATGCTTTAATGTTTCTCCAGTATATAGCTGTATTTGGACAAGTAAAATTCTAACATTTACCTGGGTTGTAACTATAATAGATAAAATCTACAAATAGCCCAATTTCAAATTTTTCTTTTAGAATATTACTTATTAGGCTGGACCATTTTATAACTCAAAATGATCTTAAGTTTGCAGTTTTAATAAATCAACCTAATAATATTCATTTATATATCTTTTATCACAAGACATATTGTGATCATATGAAACAGCTGATGGCAATTACAAACATGGCTCCAGGATCCTTCTTATTAATCTTAAGTCCATGGTATGGTGGCTGTGTGTAATTAAAACACTGTTAAGGGCTGGGGTTGTAGCTCAGTGGTTGAGAACTTGCCTCACATGCATGAGGCACTGGATTCCATCCTCAGCACCACATAAAAAAATAAATAAATAAAACAAAGATCCACCGCGCGACCAGCACACTGGTTTCATACAAGAGGTTCGTAGCATAGAAGTTAACTAGTGAAATCAAAATAAACACACAAGACTCAATTACCTTTTTCTTTGACCAGGTCCGAGACGGCCCTTCCTCTAGCTCTCGCCTTGAACCACCCGGTGGGGCAGCAAGGTTTACTCAGGACTAGCAGGAGAGAGAGAGAGCATGCCAGGGAGTGATCTTTTATTGGGGAACAAGAAATTCAGGGGAAAATTCCATCCAATGAAGGTCAGGGTCAGTGATTGGTCTCAGGGTCAATGGTCAGTCACACCCCCACACAGACAGGCTCTGGAACCTGGAGAGGGTGGGGATAGCTCTGACACAGTTTGGCCAGAACGCCTCACACCCAATCAGGGARGTGCCCAATCACATGCGAGAATGGCTCCCCACACAAAGATATTGTGTCCATCTACAACTAAAAAAATGCTAAAAAACAAATGACACTGTTAAATCATAGACACATAGTGTGCACTTTATACATATTAACATATTTCATCTTCAGAGCAACTTCTTTCTGGGTTATTGTTTTTATTTTGTAGATGAGAAAATGGGTCTAGAAAGATTTAGAAATATGCATGGGTCACTTAGTTGAAAATTTGTAGTTAAAATGTGTATAACTGCATATTAAGAAATATTTTATTTCTAATTTTATTTCCCTATAGATGGTATTAACAAAAATTGACAAATCTTCCAAAGGACATCTTTTAAAACAAGTACTTCAGATCCAGAAATTTGTCAACACTCAAACACAAGGATGTTTTCCTCAACTGTTTCCTGTAAGGTAAGAGTTGAATTGTTCTAATAACTTTATATATTAAAAACCTTTAATATTAAGTGTTTCTTAAATTGAGGTGTCACTTAAAATTTGAAAGACTATGTACTTAGCCATGATTTGTTGGTACAGTCTTTTAGTACTTATATATTTTTTTTTCATTTTATTCTTTCTCATCGGATCTTCCTTGAAGGCATTTCATTTTATTTCTGCCTCAGCCTAGCTCAACTCTAGATCATGGCAGAAATGAAAATTTGACTTTTTAAAAACAGCCACAATAAAGGTTTCTTTCTTAATTTCAAAGAGAAACAACTGTGTTTATAATAAAAAGCCCAGTCAGGCTAAGAGGGACTAAATTTTTCCTTTTACATTTTTCCTTTAAAAAGGATAGATAGGAAGAAAAAGATGGTTCATATGAGTTCAGATTAAACAGTGGTAGCAGACAGAATGGTTATTTCCTGAGCTGGTAATTTTTGAGATGTTATGATGTGGTTTCATGACAAAGCATGGGTTTGTACTTTCATGGTGTGTCTTGGGTACAATAAGTAACATACTGTGGCAGAGATAGAGCACCCTCCTGGTGTTGCCTTTCTCTGACTTGTTTGTGGAAGGCACTATGCTAGTTGCTACGAGAAAATAATGAAACCGGATAAAATCTAGATGTCCATAAGCAGCCTTTTTAGGTCCTACCAATCTGGATCCGATTTAAATTATAATTATGAATATGCGTTTYAGAACCCTTCTTCCTTCATTCCTACAAAATGCTGTTCTCTTTTGATTTACATTCAGTTATCTATCCAGTTCATTTGTCTGTCCCACATACATAATGAAAATTCGTAGAGATTGGAGAGAAATCTTAGTTCTTAGAGCTCTGGGCATTGTCATAAAAACAGCTATTTCTTTTAACTGTTTAATAAGAAGGAAGTGAGACTTCAGCTAAAAAGATCACTCAAACATAAGATTAGCACATCATGGCTAAACAAAATCATCTGTTGAAAAATATTGTTTTAGTTGACCATAAGCTGAGTTTGAACTACCACATAATGTGACTGGAAGAAAATTTGGGTCTTTTTTTAGGCTACATCAGTGGACCTACAATGTTCAAAACAAGGCAGTGATCAAGGAATAGTCCCATATTTCTGTGGGCTGTGTGCCACTGGACCATTCCTGTCAGATTGTGACTTGACATTAAGAACAATTAGGATGTCTGAAAGCAGATGGTTTTGAAGGGAGGCTATTAAGCATTCAAAATACTTCATTGATCCTCATAGTAAACATGCCGATTTCACAGACAAGGTTGCAAATCAGAGAAATTGAGAATTGCAGTTATTTGCTAAATAGTGGTCAGACCACTCAGATCTTACATAGCACAGTTCCTGTACTTCTTGGTTATGGCTTTTAAAGCAGCTTATTTCATTTTCTGAGTCTTTTCKCTCTCTGGTAAAAATGTGATGCTAGAATGTGATTGCCATACAGATGAGGCATATATGTTAAGTTTAATAATGCCAGTCGATAGTGGATGGCAGAGTCAGGCCTGTGACCCAGATTATCAGATTTCTGGTACTTTTTAGGGACATTTTCTTCTTTAGATATGCCAACTTTCTCTGCCAGCATGACCTTGGAATCACTGTTGCTACCATCCATCCTCAACACAGGTGATTAATATTTAAAGTCTTACACCACTCAGAATTTAAGTACTGATACATGACAGCCTACTGAGCTTCAAGAGCTTAAGCATTCACTGTAACAGTGACCATTTATAGGAATGTACTCACAGCTTTCAAAACCCCATGCAGAAAATAGGTATATGGATTTCTTGCTTTTACTTGCATGACCAACCCTATGGTGAGGCCTTCAGAATAGAGTTTGGCCTATTCACAAATGGTTATTATAAAGAAATCAGGTATTCTTTGTTTGCTTGTGGTAGRTGAATTGTGTGGCAGACATTTAGTCTGGCAAGGTTTGGTTTTCAAGCTTGCAGGCAAAGGTCAAGTGCTAATCTTTATGTATGAACTCTAACCCAGCAGCCTAGAAAATATCAATGGTGAAAGGCTTCCCTAAGATTGAATACTGGGATCAATCTGTTTCATAAATGGTATGGAATATATAAGTAGGCACCATAAAATTGCTTCTGTATTTGTCTATGTGTAAAATTCCAAGTGAATGAGAACTGATTTTAAGGACAGAGAAAATTATGAGCTGACAGAAATGTTTGTTACACATAAATTCAGGGTTTCATACTGTTTGAACCATCCAACTTGTGTCTCTCTTTAAATGTTTATGTACGTGTAACTCCAATTATAAGAATCATTATGGGCTTTTCTCAAGGAAGCAGCTTTGACCAAAGAAACTAAAATGCTTACTTAATTATGAAAGGAATTAGTGATACTGTAGGAAATATTCTACCTATACATAAAATCATAATGTATTTAAAAAACCTGAGAATTGATGTGGTTGAGCTCCATGGATAGATGGATGGATGGTCAGGAATGTTGGGAGGAATGGCTTAATGATTGTATAGAGAAAGATAGACAGGTAAACAAAACTCACAATAATGGAGGGTGATTTTTTTAAAAAGATAAAAAACCTAAAGAAAGTTCTGAATTATCAAGGTGGTGGAATTTTTTTATGAAAACAACTAAAAATATCAAAACTAATTCTGGGAAATAGTAAAATAAAAGGTATAGTAAAGTTTTTAGAATTATGAGGGAAATGGAGCAGATACTGTGGATCATCAGATAATAAATCCTGTAAGAAGCTGAGGCAACAGAGTAAAGGCAGAACAAATTAAAAGACATTTTGCTTCATACATGGAATCACAAAAATTTGTAAATAACTTTAAGTGAGATAATTAAGATCTGTTACTACCTCTGAGGTAAAGAAAAAAATTATTTTTCTTTTCTTTTCACAGTGCTGTGACCTATTCTGGAATCCATCTGCTGAAATGTTTTATAGCTAATATAACAGGAAATCTTAACTAATGGTATCCATTAGTTTCAAAGATGAAGTTTCAAAATTCTGTGTGCCACTAGAGTTCAACATCTAGAAAAATTTCAATATTGTTTTAAATGTTGTATATCTGTAACTTGCAGGAGGATCACTTCAGGAGATGCAAGCTTTAAAACTTGCATCTTCTCAAAATAAGAATGAATTGGTGCCTGGGGGACAAAAGGTTTATAAATAATTATCTGTTCAGTAGAACAAATGCCAGTTGGTTTTCCTATTTTAACAAACTGACAAGCAAGAGCATATTTTTAAAAATCCATAAAATGAAAACCTATTACTACTATGTAGAGAAAGGTTTGCCATGTTATTTATTGAGCTTATCTTTTAAAGAAAATGTCTATCATGTATATTTTTTTAATATTAAAATGGACTAAATAAAAGTAGCTGCTTTTCTGTTAAGCATTAATAGGTAAGTTGAAATACTGCTGTATACTTATAATTAATTTTTTCTTAAGTCCTTAGTTGAGTATTAAAAGAATTATTCTTGGTAAAACTTGTCAGTCCATGTTGGAACACCAATCATTTCAGCCTGGAATCATTCACCTTTAGGTAAACCCAAGATTAGAATAAAAAAAAACAAGAATTTAAGTTCCAGTTCTAATATCTAGGTCCTTGGGAAAATTACTTAGTTCTCTTAAATTCATTTGTAACTCTAATGACATAAACAATATATTAAAATTAAAATAGTATTACATGAGGTGATATATGGCTACATATTTGTGTTCAAACTAACCAAGGAATATAGCAAAAGTCATAGGTATTTATCATAAAACATTGTCATTAAGGAATTGACATATTCTCTAGTGAAAAACAAAAATGAGCTTTAAGCAAGATTAATTTTTAAAGGAAAACGGAAGCAATGAAGATGATTAACCCAAAGGAACGTTAATGAAGTAGAAAAAAATGCTCAGCTGATAGTCCAACCCGAACCACTCTGGTTTTTATGAGGGATGATGACCAAAGTTTCTTTCAACTATAAAAATTTATGATTTTTGAACAAAAATGCCACTTCAGATGCTGAAACTTACACATAGGAAAACTGACTAGTTCAGTGGAATCACATCAAAGTAAAAGCAGCAGCAAGACTGACCTTAAATCTTAATTCTAGGACTGGGTAGTTAGTTATGGCTCAGTGGTAGAGTGCTCGCCTAGCATGCATGAGGCATTGGGTTCAATCCTCAGCACCACATAAATATAAAATGAAGTTACTGTGTCCATCTACAACTAAAAATTTTTTTAAAAAATGTAAGGACCTTTCATTTTATCTTCTAAATTAGAAATTAGCATGTGAAATCTTCCAAGAAGTTTCTTGGGATAGTAAATAGGTGTTTGAATATTAACAATTCCCCAAAATAAACCAGGCCCTAGGGTGACAAAGCTATTCCACACCAGCTTTTCTCTTACTAATTTACCTTCATTTCCCAATATGTAAAGGAAATACACAGKATACAAAGCCATTTAGACATTGATCACATTTCTAGAGTGTCATGAATACAACATCCATGATATTGTCCTGGAATTTTTGGTAATTTTTCTTCAGAGTTATCAAGAAAAGAGATTTATGTTGGTTTATGGTCCTGGGGGTACAAGGTTGAGAGTTCTTATCTGGTGATAGCTTTCTTGCTAGGAGTCCTTAGGCTTCACATGGTAGAAGATAGAGTGGTGTGTGTATGTCACTGTCCATGTTTTAAGGCACCAAGTAGCTACTTACTGCCATTCGTCAAAAGGCCAGAAGGAATAGTTAGTCTAGAAATTAAGAACTCCAAATTAAAAACAGGATGTTTAACAGTGCTTCAGGAGAAAAGCTAACCAGTATTTATATCATTGACTCTGGATTTGGGGGTCACTTGAATCAAAATCTCCTGAGCTCCTTATTAAAATAAACATGCAGACTTCTGGCCTCAACCCTGGTCCATGTTTATCAATCTAGGAGAAGAGGCTATGATTCTATTTTTAAATAACTTCATCAGGTGACTCCAAAAAGTGAAAAGTTCAAGAACCACTGATACAGATAAGTGAGAAAATGAAGAAAACAGATGGWAAGAACAAAGGTGGGTAAAAAATGGAAAGGAAATACAGAGGAAAAAAAATGGTAGGATGGCTGAGGAAAGGAAGGATGTAGAATATGTGAGGGCACTGTATTCTTTTCCTGTCTCTGAAACAACATAAAACTTAAGGCTACCTGAGAAGCATATTAACTTAACTCCAGTCAAGTCTGTACATTTGAGCAATACCTCAAATTTAACATCATTATTTGGAAATACATGAAGATTTAGCCTCTCAGGCCAATTGTACAAGCACATACAAATACCAGATAATATCATCAGCACCCAATGACAAATTATACCTTTACTCCAGGACATATTTTGTGTCTCCTAATACTTTCCTTTACTTCTTTGTTATCCTGTTGCATTTCACACATAACCACAAGCCATCTTATATCCCTAATGGAAAAGGTTTACTAGGGGGGAAAAAAAATTCTTGATTGGTACCACATAAACAATATTAACAAATAACTAAAAATCTCTTGAAAAACTTCAAAAGTATTTTAATGTACCCTCCTGTGGGATAAGGTGAACAAATGAAGAGAAATAATGGTTGTGCCCTGTCTCTGGTAATAAATACAAATTACTGACAAAACTTTTAAGTCTTTTTGATAATTCAGTCTAATACATAAACAAGACAGCACAATGGATGGAATTTAGAGGTGGACTTAAAGGACTAAGTGACCCTCAAGAGTACTTCCTTGCTACTCTCCAATTTACTCCCTATTTACCTTAAGGTACAGGAGTTTTTGCAAACTTTATTATTAAGGTCTTCATTCCCTGGTAAATCATAAAACTATTCAAATTTTCAGGGACCTATCAGCCCCAGTGAAGGAATTACATTTGTTTCTCAAGGGCAGGCTGACAGACTTTTCATCTTAATACCTGTCATGTAGTCAAAACCAAATAAACACTTGTTGATAAATGGCACAAAGCAACTATAAATGTTTACTGAACCAAAATGAACTCCTATGTGATGTTACACAGAAGCAGCTCCTCTTAAAACAGCAGAAGACTGACTCAGATTGTTAACTACTTAAAAGTCTCACATATGAACATCTAAACTCCCATTAAAGCAAAAATGTCATCAATGTCATCTGTCTCCTTAACAGATTCTGGCATACTCTCTTTGTTTATTTGTATTTTTATCCATGAATCACATTCACTTCCATTGCTTCCTAGGAGGTTCTCATGAATCTGTTGCTCCTTAGTTTGTTTGACAGGACTTGAAAGTCTGCTCAAGAGCTGCTTACTGTTAGGACCAGGATCAGTTCTMTGAACTGTATGGCATGAGAGTCTCCACTTAGCACTGGTGTCTGTAGCACTMTTTGAAGAGAACTGCTGTATTTCCTTCAGATGAATTGACTGCAACTTTCTCTGTGGTTTCCTTTGTCTCAGAAAAAATTTATTCTGTGATCTCCTTTGTCTCAGATGATACTTTGAAGTTTTGATTCCTGAGCCACAAAGAAGACAGTTGCTAATAGATGTTTTTATGCACTCTAGTTTCTTTGGCAAACTAAAAGACAAAAAGAAAAAAAGTCTGAACTTTTTGAGATGCAAATAATTCAAGCACTATTTAAACATGTTTCCTTTCTACCAACTTCCTACAGAAAAGGACACAATTTATTTCCAAGTCCTCTCCCTATGTATAATCTCAGAATCATAAAAGAAGGAAATAAGGAAACTRGAGTTTCAAATTTTCAGAGCAAAACCTCCCTCTGATTCAGACTATAGGCAGATGTGTCTGTTTTGCTGAATGATGAACTCTGCCYTCATAGTGTATCAGAAGTGGAAATGCAAAACATCACAAGTGAAAAAAATCCATCAGTATACAGTTATTCACATCTGGACAAGCAACTCATGTTGACAGAGGAAATGAACAAGAAAAAAGGAATCAGGTCCTCTGACATACAAACTTCAGGTAACCTTGAGCTACCTGAAATGCAGTCTATAGCACATCATCTTCAAGTGTTCAAAATTCTGAATTCAAACAGTTGATTCTAAAAAGTATTTTTGTTTCTAAATAGGGTGCACTACCATAGGTTCATCAATCTTACTGAACTGCCTCAATGTAATGGCCAAATTTTAAAATATTAACATAGGTCTACACTCCCTATCCCACTTCCCTTGTTACTTTTAAAACAAATACAAACATTTGAAGTAATCCATGATCTCTGTTTCAAAACTACTGTCTTACTCTAAGTGGTGACATTTAACAGAGAAAGTGTAGGTGTAACTCTTATATTGAAATGAAAAGAGAATGAATAGGAACAGGAATTAGAGAACCTGAATTGAGTTCTAAGCCTCCAGTAATTACACCTTATGCAAAAATCCTCCATTTCCTCATGTATAAAATGAGAATAATGCTGCCTACCTCATGGAGTTATTGTGGAAATTAAATATAAAGTGTAGTACCAAAAAAAAGAAACAGCTAAATAGGACAATGTGAAAGAGCACTAAGGGAAGTACAGACAATAGTGGCTTAACCAATAAGCAACTTTGTGATTGTTCTCATTAACTCCTTCCTTCCTTCCTTTTTCATTCCCTCCCTCCCTTCCTTCCTTCCACTTTCAGAGCTGTTCCCTTCAGGTAAGCTGATGAGATCTTTTTTTTCCCTCTTTGTATAATCATTTTTATTATGCTTTGCAATTATACATAATAGTGGAATCATGACACTTTCATACTTGCATAACATAATTTGATCAATTTCATTCCCTGGTTATCTCCCCTTTCTCATTAACTTTTAATCATCATCTCTGCCTCATCCAACCCAATCTTGAATAAAGGGCCTCTCACCATCTCTAGCAATTTCCAACCCTAGAATAGATCCCTTTAAGATGACTACAGACCTCTAGGGGATCCCAATGTTAAAAACCTTCTAGTTCATCCCTAGGAATATTCAACAACTTCTCCCAAGCATTGTTGTGAGAATTTGCTACAAAAATCCCCATTGTATACCACATTT